TATTAATGTATAATAACATTAATTTTAAGTAAATGTCAAAAAATTGTGTATAAATTCAATGAAAAAACACAGAATATTCTCACACAGAATCCTAAGGTTAATTCAAGTGCCGTAACCTAACCTAACAATAAATTTTAAAATATACATAAAACTAACCAAGTTTGTAATAAGATATTACATTGCAAAAAATGGTTTCTCGTTTTATGATAGCTTTGGTGGTCTGTTTGACGGCTCAACCGTTTGTCCAATCGGGCAAAATAGTGGAGATTCCGGGCACTGACTGTAATCTCGCTCATGGAGTGCAACGTAAGTGTATTTAGTTGAATTTATCTTCATTTATTATAGATATAAGCAATTATATCTCTATTCGATCTATACTAGATTTATTTGACCTGGCCGGCATGAAAGTGGAAGATATGGACAAGGTGAGAGTGGAGTTGTGTAAGACATGTGAACCATGTTGTAAATCAATACAACTCGTTGAGGATCTGCTCAAAGAAGCTTAAATGTAATGTACATACAATTGTATAACATTTACATTTTATTTATTTTAATTTAATTATTAAATTATTATTAGTAATATTTTCAATATAAAGGCACGTTTGTTAGCTTTCAACACTGATGTTTTTCTCTAAATATTTATTTTTTTAAATTATCCAATTGTTTAATTTCTATACAATATTGTATTAACAATTTTCTTATGTATAATACAAGTTGTATTAAATATTAAAAATATAATTTGAATTAAATAATTATATTAATGATAATTTTTATGTGAAAATCATTGTATTTTCACTCAAACCCACGCATTGAAGGTCAACAATATTTTGTTATTTTTTATTATTTCATAATAACTTTCATTATTTTTATGAACTTTCTCTCAAAAATATTTTCAAGTTTTCATTTAATTTTGAAGTGTTTGTTATATTTGTGGAAAAATGTTTGCAATTATCAACACTTCTCACAATGGTTTTGAGGACAGGTATGTGCTTATGGTTTATATCTATTTTATTACAACTTGTATTATAAAATTGAATACTTTTAATATACAAAAATACATAAAATAATTAAATAACACATCAAAATCTCTCATTCCTTGGCATACATTTCGGTGGACAAAAACAATACTTTTTTAAATGAAAAGTCTATGAAAAACCCCTTTTGCTGTCTATTTATTGTAAAAAGTATTTACTTTTCACACAATTGTTACGCTTTTTGTATTTTCTCTCGGATTTAATCGTTTATTTAATGGAATTTTAGAAAATAATTATTTATTGTAAACATATTTTCAAAATACATATTTTACTTGAATTTTATAATAAATATTTATATTAATAGTTTGATGTTTAATTTTAAAAAAATAGATATCACATAAAAATAATTATAAAAAGTCAATAAATTTGATTAAAATTGTTACTACGGGCATATATAAGTTCTAAAAACCACCTCGTTAATTCTGTCAATAAATAGAAAACATTTAAATTTTATTTAATTTATTAATGGAAAAGTTAAAATTAAAACTTTAATTAAATAAATGTAATTAATTATTGCCAACATAAAAAAGCATGTAGCTTTCATTTAACAGCCCGAACCAATTGCTGGGCCTCTCGCATGTGGGGCTCAAATATCTTCATATACTTATCCACTTCGCTATCTGTGAATCCATACTTCGGGGCCAACTCTTGGACAGATTTGCAGCCCTCGGGAGCGGCCGTAAAGTCTACATCTGAGTCGCCGCCCAAATAGCGGGGCAACTGATCCAACGGTATGAGTGTCTTAATCTCATCGCCGGACGCAAACTTAATGATCTTCTCCTGCGAACCGATCCAGAGTTTGGCC